TTCAGTTTCTTTTTAAGGATTTTCATGAACTCATGAATTCAGACATTTAGATTTTAATCTGTTGTAATTAATATGGTCAGTTAGCTCAAATTGTCCCCTCTTTGACCAGTGAGCCTTTTAAACAGGTGGTTTCTGAATCTTTTTATATACTTGACCCTATTAGTCTTTGATAGCTTTCTTGCTACTGGTTTGGTAAGTTGTTCTAAGCTTATTTCATAATTTTCTTCCAATTCTGTGGAATCAGCCATTTCTCCAAAAATCCCTGGCAATGGAGATTATTATATGGAGTTAATATTAGTTGAGGAGAGCCTCAAATAAGAGCCACCAGTAAAAACAATTTCTGTTTGCCTTAAAACAATACCTGAAGCGTAATAGGAACTCAAGAAATATTTGTTGAATGTATGTTAGGATGTGAATATCTTTGGGTTAAGTCCTATGATTTTGTACCTCTTTTTTCCTCTCATAGTGCCTGGCTGCTAGGTGCTCAGTAAATATAGTGAAGTGAATAAGATCATGGTCTTTGATAGCAGACTTTATTCTACCATATATTACTTGTGTGACCTTGAAGAGAGAAGTTTACCAAACTTCACCAATCTTTTATTTCTATGTCTGTGAAATAAGTTAATAACTAAGGTTGTTATTTTGAGGTTTAACTGAAATAATTTAACATCAATTAGTAATAATCAACAGTGGCTGGTACATGGTAGATGCTTAATAAACTATGGTTTTTACTGTTACTGGGTTTATATGTTTTCTTGAACTAATTATATTTTATTTAATGTCAATGTAAAATCAAATACATAGAGTGTATGTACTAATTGATGGGTGAAAGCAGCCCAACAGCAGTCTGGGTAACAAAAACGAACTAATTTGGCATTATAAATTTCCTTTTGCAAATGAATGTAGAAAACGGGTAGTTGCATGTATTAATAATTTGAACTATAATGTTTGCCAAATTGATTATGAAACATTGTATTTAAGGTGTTATACTCCTCAAGTAGAAATAGACAAAAAGATGTGTTTTCTACAGTACACCAAATTAACTTGTAATACAGTTAGTCTTTGATTTACTCTAGATTTAAGTGCTCTGTAGAATAGAAATTGCCTGGAAAATAAGTAATCCCTATGTAGAGGAATGCTTTCTATTATGTGGTCAGATTTTTCAGCAAGTACTATTAATTATCTTTGACCCCAGAATCTGCTGCTGAATACCTGCCTCTTTGCAAGACTGCCATGCTGCCGTGGGTGTCAGTGACATCTCTGTACTTACTGACAAACCTGGAGTCAAATGAATTCCTGAGATCACCATTTGGAACTCAGAATATTAATATACCCTCTTGCCCACTATAGACACAGACACACATGTGTGTTTCCCTATATTTATAAATGGTAGCTAGATATAGTTGACGAATTACTATTTAAGTGTGAGCTGACCTGGGGGTAGAATTACAATTTTTAGCATTGTTTTCATGTAAGTGCATTCTGAGTTCTAAATGAGTTTTAGAATAGTCTGTTCATTCATGGTGGCCAGCCTATTTTTATAAATGAGGACCTAACTTTGCTTGTCAGGTGCCACGCATGAAATGTTTGGCACCCTTACTAGATTGTTATCATCAGGGATTATATATCTGAATTTCAGGTTAAGCCATGTGTTGCAGATATATTTTTGTATAATTGAGACTGAATGATAGTATTACTGATATTTTGTTAATGAATGACTGAAAACTAACATTTTTAATCTGTGTGACTAGGAAAAGTGGAAAAAACTATGGTTTCGAAATCAGATCTGAGTTCAAATTCTAGCCTCACCATTTATTAACTGAATTCGTTTCCTCAACTATAAAATGGAAATGATAATTACAGGGTGGTTATGAGATTTTAAATGATTTAACAGTAACTGGTATAAAGGCTTAGTCAAGGCATTGGTACACATTAATAACTCAATAGCATACCATTAAACCCTTAATTCCTTGCAGTTAGTTCTTTAGCAACTTGACATACGTAAAAGTAAGCATTTTACTGAGCTGCAGCATAGACTTGTTTTAAAAAGCATAATAGTAAATAGAAATTATATTTTTACATTTCTGGTTATGTTAATTAAGGATAGCTTATTTTAATTTTTCACATTTTTATAGTGCTCATAAACAGCATTTAAGTACTTTATTAATGAAAGCTCAAGTAGCAAGTAAAAACAATGAATAAAATAATGTGCTGTTTATTCTCCAAATTATTTCATGCAGCAACATTTGCTTTGGCAGGAAGTCTTATTTTCTGGGGTTATTGGCTGAATATTTATTTCCTGTTATGAAACGGTAAACTTGTAAAATACATATATACTTTAAAGTTCAAGTATAGTTTATCAGTGGCTAATATTGACCTATAAAGCTATTTCAATGAAAATGAAGTAGAAACCTTATGAATGTGATGATATATAAATATAAAAATATAAGTAGTGCATTATGTTTATAGTCCAGTTTCAGGTTAACTAGCTAAGCACAATTAAAAAGAATAATGTTCTTGGTCTTGAACTCCGAAAATGGTTTGTGAAAGTTTTTCTCAGTTAACAAATGCTTCATTTCAATACTATTTGGCCAGGCCATAGTAAATATGAGATGCCTAGAGAAAATTTGCTGAGGGATATTTTATACTTAAAATGCCTAGCCAGCTTTGTGGAAGGTAGAGTTAGGAGGTTATTCACTCTTTC